CTGACTATTGCCCTGAGGAATGAAAGACTACCCATTTTTGTTATACCTTTGGTATGCCAGAAAGCATAAGACCCAACAGTGACAGTCTGCAAAGCATGTCTTCAGAGCAACGATTCCTCCTCCCAGTCTGGGGCACTACAGACTGGTCAGCCTCACATTGGTCTCTGGGGAAATTATGGAGGGAGTCCTCTTGGAACACATTTCTGGGCACAAGAAGGAGAAGATAATTTGGACCAGTCAACTTAGATTTACCAAAGGTAAACCTGATTGCCCTTTATGTGTCTAAGTTTGTAGATGAGAGGAGAGCAGTGGATGTCATTTACCTTGGCTTTAGCTAGGTTTTCAACGCTGTTTCCACAGCATACTTCTGTCCAAGTTAGGATGTATTATATTCTAGATGTGTGAACAACCAAATGGATTTAAAAAAAGCTCAGAGGGTAGTAGTTAATGGGTTGTACTCTACCTGAAGGCTGGTGACAAGGGGAGTGCCGAAGTGCTCTCTCTGTTGGGACCTGTCCCATTTGCCATGTTTGTCAGTGACCTGGGGAAGGCAATGGACTGCTTACTCATAAAGTTTGCAGTGACACCAAATCACCAGTTGGGGCTTGGGGGACAGTTTTGATGCAGTCAAGGGAAGGGCTGCCATTCAGAGATACCTAGGCAGGGCTGGAGCCGGCCAACAGGAACGTTATGAAATTCAGCAAGGACAAATGCAAAGTCCTGCACCTGAGAAGGATTTGCACTTGCACTTGCAGTGATACAGGCTAGGGACTGGATGGCTGAGGAGCAGTTTTACTGAAAAGGGCATAGAGATTTTGGTAGAGAGCAAGCAGAACATTAGCCAGCAATGTGTCCTGACAGCAAAGATGACCCCATACTGGGCTGTATGAGCAGGAGCACAGCCAGGAGATTGAGGGAAGGGATTGTTACCCTTAGTACTCATTAGACCACACCTAGAATACTGCACCCAGCTTTGGCCCTCCAGTATGGGAAAGACATGGATAAACTATAACAAATTCAGCAGAGGACCACCAGGATGGTCAACAGCTGGAGCATTTGCCCTGTAAGGAGAAACTAAGGAAACTGGGCTTTTTCAGCCTGGAGAAGAGAGACCTTCAAGCAGACTTAATAGCAGCCTTCCAGTACCTACAAGGAGGTCAGTCATCAGAAAGATGGACCTAGCCTTTTCACAGTGATGCATGGCAAGAGGATGAAAGACAAGAGGCATAAACTGAAACGAGTGACTGAATGTAATTTTTCTCTGTGAGGACAGTCAAACTGCAATAGGTTGCCCAAAGAGGTTATGCCATCTCCATCACTGGAGGTTTTCAAGACCAGGCTGAATAAAACCCTGAGCAACCTGGTCTAACCTTGTAGCTGACTCTACTTTGAGCATGACACTGGACTAGAGACCTCCTGAGATCCCTTCCATTCCAAACTATTCTATGATTGTGCAATCCTAATATAGCATCACAATTCTGTGCTATTTTAAAGCACGGATAGTAAAAGCAAAATCTTCTTAATTGTTCTGAATACTTAAATGATTTGGCTCTTGCTTTTGGAACCCAGAAATGCTACATATGCTCTGTACGTTCTCCAAACAGCTTGTATTTGTGCTTATTTGCTGGTATGACGTGCTAACTGTGCAAAAAATTTTGGACTCTTGCCTTAGAATATAGATACCTGCCAACAGAAAATGAAGGCTACATAGTGCTGCAAATGCTTTCTCTGTCTATGGAAAGTGCCTCTTATGTGCCAGAAAGAAGCATTTATACCGCATGCTTTTTTACTGCTTCTCACATCTGTTAACATTTACATGTGTCAGAAAACAATACCTGAACAGTAAAGGGAAGGGATACGTGAAGTTCAAGGGCATTGCATCAAGAAAAAGGACATGTTATATTGCACTGATGCATTGGAATAAAAAAAGATTTCTTGGACTTGTCAAATATGTCTAATATGTGGGTATGGTCTGTGTATACTATCTATGAATACATTTCCATATCTGAATTGGACGACCCAAATTGCCAGTAAATTGAACTGAACCCATGAAAGGGTCAAGGAGTGGCAGTCAGGAGGTGAAAGAATTGTAACTTTCTTGGTACATACAAAAAGAATAAAATTTTATTTCATTTAAGGCAGGATTTATATAAAAATCTTCAAAGTTAGATTCCTACATATGGAATTACCTTCTTATATTGAAATATTTTGCATTTTCGGTATCTTCTCTTCATCTGCCTTTTTGTTAGCACAAAAGGAGTAGGTTGACTGACAAATGTTGCTGTATATCCTCAGTCCTCAGAGGCAGCTACTGTATTAGACTGTGTTTCCAAGAATATTTCTTTGAAGTCATATCGTGAAAATGCTGAGACACAATGTAGTACAGGATTTTGTATGACATGGCAGTTCTTACGGATGTTAACCACTGGCAAATGATTTAGAAGAACAACGAATTAGGGAGGAACGGATCCTTGATCTCCCAAACTCAGAAGGAAGAAAATCAGTATTTGTTACCTTTATAAAAATTGCTGTTTGCATTGGTTGCATTCATACCACTAATTCTTTAGACATCTATTTGGGTACTTTTAACCAGTGTCGTGTAGTAGGCTGTTCTTTGATATCTAACCCTGATTTTCCAAAATGCACCTGCAATAAAGAGCACAGTCCCCCCCACTACTACTGTCATTGCTTAATATTGAGCTCTGCATGGAAAGTGACAGAAAAATATCTGTTTTCCTAAGCTTTCTGAGCCTAAAAAGAAGTGTTGGCTAAAAGAAATAAATAACCTTGAATTGAGTCCTACCTAACATGTAGTCATAATAAAGGCAAAAGTCTATTTTTGCTTTTTGCTATATTTCTGCTAGATAATGTACCTCCAAAACATTATTTCTATGATGAACTTCTGCTCTTACAAACAGATAACAAGTCTTATGCTGAAATTATTATGAAAGTTTGAGTTCCACACTCACTACGCTGAAAAAGCCTTCCACTAAGTCTATGGAGATACAGTGAATAATCACATAAAGCATATAGTTTTTTTGCCCCCAAATTTGAAACTTACGGCTTTACCAAAACCACCATATGAACGGTATGTGCATACATATTTTTGGTTTTGAGTCGGGGATATGAAGAATCTATACCAGTTTTCCTCTGTAAGTTATACAAGAAAGTTGTGAGACACCCAAAGAAACACTTTACAGTTTAAGCTGATGAGACATCAGATGGTGGAAAATAGCAAGGAAGATAGATCTTCATCCAGCAATATTTCTTAAGAAAAAAACGAAGTTAAGCATCTGATAAGACTTGCATTCTGGCCTTTGTGCTTTGTAGAGCAGCTTTATCGCTACCCAGAGATATGCTGCTTGGTCTTCCTGCCGGTTGAAGTCAGTGGTGAAACTTCCACTGACTTCTTTTGTTGCTGCCCTGGCCCATTTGCATGCAAATAAAGTATAAGAATATAAAGCTTTCTCATATCACTTCTTCTCATGTCATTTTAACTCTGGCATATCCCTTTAGGAGCGTTCACACTTTAAGAATTCTGAACTAGCTATTTGTACAGAGACATCTGATTACGTTAATGGAAATTATAGGAAGAATTGGTAGTAAAAAATTATCACTGGTGCTTAATTTACATAATATTTTTTTTGACATAATTCAGGCCCATCACAGGCACCCTTACAAGTTACATGTAGGGGTCAGAGGGTGAAAGGTGACTGGCAAGATGCTTGTTTTGTACATTTGGCTAACACAAATACTTCCTCAAGTATAAAATGCTTTGATCTCTATAAGCAAATGCCATATGTGTGCAGCTGTGGCCCATGCCTCACGATTGCTGGAAGGTTAGAAAAAGGTAGCATACGAATTTGATGTCTGCATTCAATTTATGCTTTTATATTTAGCAGTTCATAATTTTGTGTAATATTTTAGCTGTATGAAAAATATGCACCAGAGTTGAGTGATAACAGATTTCTCTGTGGTTTGACTCAACATTGTTTGGGTGAACACAGAATCCTAAGTATTGCAGACTGAAAATACAGGTTTTAATTAGAGCTGTCTGAGCTTCAAAATACCTGAACGCACATTAAGCTTGGCAGATTTTCAGAAATCTGAGCATTGCGTGGAGGTGATTTAAGCTAAGCAAGAGTCCTCTGTTTTCCAGCATATACTGCATTTGCAGTTGCATCACTGACTTGCAACACACTGAGGAAGTGAGATCCAAAACCATTATTAATGGTTTTGTGATATGTAAAACTGTTTTATCATGAAGGCCTGTCTTATGTCATACTTGTGTTGAACAATACCTTACTCCAAGGGAATTTCCATTGAAAAAATTGAATGACTTCCAGAGTAAAGGATCTACTCCACATGACTGAAAAACTGAATCAGCTCCAAAAGTTTGGCGCCTTTTCTGAGCTTTTGGTTTTTACTTTTACATGCAAATGTCTAAGAATGATATGTCCAGATCTGTATCCCTCAAGCAGTTTAACGTGAGTAGTTTGCTGTGACAATAAAGAAACCTGCTGCAGTCAATGGGACATGAGGGTCCATTCACACGGATCCAGTTTCACGATGAAGGCCAAAAAAAAAAAAAGTATGACTTTGTTTATTAAAAATCTTGAGCATGGACAAATACACTAGTGTACCTGGGGGGAAGACCATGAATTCAATTAAAGCATATGCAATTTCTACTTACAAGAAAAAATCCAAGTCACAACAAATAGACAGGCGTGATACAATAAACAAAAAATCAGACACAAAAATATCAAATTACAGGTACAAATGTGATAAAATATAAAGCGTTATGCTCTATGTGTATGTTAATATACAAAAGTGTGCATATATAGGTATACATACATAGATATATAATACAGTGTTGTTAATATGAAATTTAGTGCGTGAGTGAATTAATGCAATTGTTCTAGGTATGATTTGAATAATATTTAAATAATAGCATACTTATATGTTTTTCTTACGCTGTTTCTCTTTTGTATTTTTGCTAGCTCCTACTGGCTATGGTAGGCTCGACAGATGAAACTCTGCAGGAGGCAGCAGCTGGTTGCATAGCAAACATTCGCAGATTGGCTCTAGCAACAGAAAAAGCAAAGTATGGCTGATGCTTTAGCAGCTTTTACCAACACACTTGTTTTGCAATACAGCTACATTTAAATACATGATTACTCCTTCTAGCATCTGTATTTCATAGCAGAGCTCATTTATGTGAGGATAATTTAATAACAACAGTAAATCTGTGGAAAATTATGTTTGTTTTTACATTATTGGTTTGTCACATCTAGGGTTTATAAAACACTCACACCTAGTTTTGTGTGTATTTTAGTATTACACCTTTCAAAAGACTATCAGTTAAGATATGTCAAAGACTTTTTCTACAATTAATATGCTTGTATTTGAAATTCATTGTAGATATAAATGGTTTTGCATATCTGTGACATTACAATAAATTTTCCTTCACTGCGTGTGTGGTTGTGTGGTGATTTATGAATGTCTTGAACAATTCCCTTTGTGCTAAACTTGTCCAATCATCCTGTCATTATGTTTTTGCCTGTTTGATCACTTGCAATTCACAGGAGAGGACAAAATACAGATACATCAATCTCACATCTGGTGTTATGTAAGGACTGCAAACAGCTGTAGCAATAGACATCACTCCAAATTTCCTGTTTCTACCAACATCAAACAAAATAATGCTTAATTTTATAAGTAGCTGGTGAAATGTGTTTTAATTAACATGTGTTTAACTCAAATTTAAATTTACCAGCTGTAAATAAAAAGTGGAGAATTACATTTACATTTACACATTATCTTACTGTGGTTTTTTGTTTTTAAACTGAGGACAACATTGTATTGATGTAGTTACTTTATTTTTCTGCATAAAATTATATTCGGAATTAGAGTTGCTTTCAATAACCACATAAACAATGATTGATATTATAGATTACAGACCCACTGTTATGTACCGTGCTCAACAAATAATACTAAAGCATTTCCTTGAGAGCAGTAATGTCTTAATTACAGGCACAGACTGCTGACAAAACTGAAAAAACCCAAATGTTTAAATAACTCGTGTTTGTCAAGTACTCACTTCTAAACAATTTTTTTACTGCCCTTAATAATTAACAATTTTCTTGTTTTGGAAGCAGTTTGTAATTTCATTATTTTTCTTCTAACTAGCATGGCTACTCAAGGCAACTAATTTTACTGCTAACAGAAGCTTCTAAGGAAGACGTAATGCAAATCCAACTTTTTATTTGTGTTTTCTCTGAAGCAGACATGAAGGCTCATTTAAAATTTCATTTTAGAATGATGCAATTCTGAAAAAAGAGGATTGCATTGGGCCCTTAGACAAGGTGTAGAGAGTATTGTAAAGGAAACAAACTACGGACAGGTGCTGACAGTGTGGAGATCAAAATATTAATCCAAGTAGTATTTTTTGGTCAATGCAAACACCAACATAGTCATGGGGTTGTCACAAGTTCCATCAGCAACGAGTGACCAAGCAAATACTATTTTCCAGCTCTGCCCCATAGACCCGGTATGTTATTGTGAATAAATATATCCATATTATTATACTGATGTCACAGCTGTAGTAGTATCATATGCTTCACCACCAAAAATACTTCTAAAATGAATGCTAATTGCCAAATTCATTTGGAAGAGGAGAGGCTTGATTTTATTTTTGTCTTTTCTGTGAGAGAAGCTGTAGATACAAATAGTTTATCACAGTCTTGCTTATGAAAAATACATAAAACGGTGGCTTATTTTCCTAACTGTTGAGGGGAAAAAAGCTCCCTGGCAATAACCGTTGTCCTTAACATGACCTCTCAAGGCACTGTTGACTGTTTAGTGTGGATTTCAAATGGAATAAGTTCTAAAGTAAACTTAATTTTATGATACAGGTGTCAGGGTAATAAATGTCATGTTCCTGACAATGAAATGGCCGCAGCTTGCCTCTTTCACTCGCGCTGGTAGCCCTTATGCCTCTGAGTAGTTGATCTGAAGTCTTTAAGCCCTCAGACAGTTAATCCCAGACTTAAGCTGACTTACTTGTGCTGGTTTCTTTTTCTTTACCATGCCTGCCATTTTTAAGTTCTGTACACGGAGAATAGATGCTGAAATCGATACAGATTGCCACACAGGCAAAGGATCAGTATTAAAAAAATACATCTTTTTTGGCCAAAACTGGTGGATTCCATGTAATTAATACAAAGAGATTTAGTTGTCGGAAAATGAGTAACTGAATGTGATCCCTGGCCTCTCTGAGCGGTGCAGTACAGCGTGTACGTTTGAAAAGCTTCCACTTTCTCGCAGGGCTGTGTTGAGTTTCACAGCACTGCAGCCCTCTGAAAAGGGATCCTCACAAAGCTGGGTCCCACTTGCCGCTCACACAGCCCTCCTGGCAGCACCCGCCAGTCTATTCAAGCCCTGGCACCGACTCGAGCAGCCGCAGC